AAATAAAAAATAGATTAAAAAAATAAAATATCACCAATATCATAATAAAAAATTGGATTACTGATTGTGACAGTGGGTTATTACAAAGCAAGGCCACCCCATGCATGTGGCCTTTTCTGCATGTGGCCAATCGTCCTTCCAATTCTCTTCCCTGAATTGATGCAACATGAGGTCTTCACAAGAAGTTGAGCAGATGCAACACTGTGTTCTTGGGCCTCCGGAACCATGAACTGAATAAATCTCTTTTATTTACAAATTAACCAGCCTTGGGTGTTTTGATATAATAACAGAAAAACGGACTGAATTAGTAAATATAAATGAACATTGCTTTGATACTTCAGCAAACTGTACATGAAAATTTCTAGAATTGGTCCTAAAATTTCCTCTGAAAAACTGTACCCACTGGATCAGGCCCTGAAATCTGCCAACTCCCTGGACCTCAGGCAGAGTGGTACCAAACTGAGGGTTAGGTGTGCTATCCCCTGTTGTTCTGGGTGTCACCCTGGCTTCTACAGCACGAGGGATGGTCTTTCCAAAGGGCCCACTCTTAGCATCTTATTTAACAAGCTCAGAGTGAGAGGGTCCTGAAATCCCAGCCCCTGATTAGGAGGCTCTAGTAGGTAGCAGAGGAAGATGCCAAGGAAGGGAAGAAACTGGGAATCACCAAGTTTAAAAGAAAAAAAAATTCCATCCCCCTACTCCAACTGCCAAAGAGATTCTGATTTTAGTCCCAGCCCCGATCTTCTTAGCATCCACACGGTGAGGTGCAGACAAGATTTTCTCTGACTTCCAGAGTCAGGGTAGCGATGGGTAAAGCAAGCATGAGCACCCTGCTTCCTTGGAGAGGCTGTGCTCACCCTGCCCAACCCTGCCCACTGCAGAGGACAGGCTCCTGGCACCTCTGCAGTCTTGCCTGGCGCCTGCCTGGACTCCCGCCTTTGTCTTCACGATGGCCCAAGGACACTGTGGGCCTTCACTCTCTCAGATCATACCCTTCAATCACAGCCACACATTGCCTGGTGTGTCTCCGCCAGCAGAGCCTGCTTCCAGCCCAGGGCTGGGCGTGTAAATAATACTGAGGACGAGTGTGAGTGAGAGAAGGCCTGAATGAGTCAATTGTTAAGTGCTCTGTAATTTCATAGTGTTTGGGATAACTTACCTCAATTCCCCCAGGAGAGTTTTGTTTGTTTGTTTGTTTGTTTTGAGGGACTTTACTTTCTGTTTTTTTAACAGCATCTGTTTAAAAAAAAAAACAACAACAACAACCTCAGCTCCTTGTTACAATCATAAATTCCTGAAGGGCTTTCCCAGGGGTGTGTTTCAGTAGAGGGAAAACAGGTTCTCTTTCCCTGACCTCAGCCCCCTCTGCATCTTGGTTTCTTCTTCCCACCTAGGTTAGGTGTTCTCTCTCTCTCTCTCTCTCTCTCTCT